TTTTTCGTAAGATGAAGCATTCGTAAGTAGAGGTACCACTGTACTTGTGTGCCAGTTGTGATTCTAATACACATATGCTAAAATCATTTTGTTTAGTAGCTTCAGTAAGTGGTCCTAGGGAGATTCAAATATGAGAAGTACACTGTAGTCTGAATATGTTTTTAATCCTTGGATATTTATCTCTTGCTTCAGGTTACAAGAACACTATAACTGAGCCAATGAGTACACTACCTAAATCAAATAAATCTGATTATTTTGTGAGTAGTACAAGCCAGGAAACAAAGAGACATGAAATACAAGAGAGCAGGATGTTTACTTCAGGTAGGTAGGACAGGTTTTAAGGCAAACTTATGTGTAGTCTAATGCTAAACATACACTGAAAATGAAAATATTCCATAGAAATTTATGGGGGAGGCTTGATTTTATGTTATATTTTTGGAAACTGTTTTAAGAAAGATCACATATTTCAGTTGCACAGTACTATTACTTAGATTGCATCTACACTGTAGAAATAATACAGTTTGATACCATTTTAAGTTTTGTAGCTCCATTCTATGGAATCCGGGGATGTGTAGCATTACAAGATCTTTAGCTTTCTCTACCAAAGAGTGCTGGTGTCTCACAAAACTACGGATCCCAGGATTCTGTAGGATGGAGCCATGACAGTTAAAGTGTCAAACTGCATTATACAACAATACTGCAACAAGAGGAGATGGAGTGGGAGGTCTTTGTCCTGGGAACCTGAGGTAGGTGCCAGAGGGGAGCAGGGAAATGTGAGAAGCAATCTTGGAAGAGATTTGAGGCATATATTACAGGAGAGCTGAGATCCATACCCAAGCAAAGAAAAATTACTGTCTGAAATTCAGGGCAGTGAAAAGATTCTAAATAAAGATTGTGAAGGGATCAAAGGCCAGACCCAGCAGGGTTCAAAACAAAAAGAATAGTTTTGCCTTTGCAAATGAAAGAGAAACTCAGGAAGGTTCCCAACTACTTGATGGCACTCCGTTTCATGGCCATATGTGGCAGGAGCGATGCCATATTGAAAATAAAGCTTAGCACAAGGGTTGACTTGTCAAGTGAGTGCAAATGATTCAGGAATGGGCCCTATTTCTACTAAGGCTGTGCACTGGCTAGTTTAAACGTACCTTTGTGCGTACTTTGCCTGATGTGGTACTTTGGCAATCAGACAAGTATTTGCATACTTCCCTAACTATAGGGAGGAAACACATACAGTTTGGTCCTACAGTGAGTGTTCTGGATCTTACTGTCATTCCTACTGGGTTTCCATGCTGCTGCTTTAAGTATAGAATGGTTTCCTGAGCCAACGTGTCAATAACAATATCATGCAACCATAGCATAGCAAAAAATGAATAAATACACACAAGTCCAGAAAGCTTGCACATTTGATTTTCTGTGTACGTATGAATAATATTGATACAACCCAATATGCATCCTGCAATAGTATTAGTTTACTGTGTTTCCTTTAGAAAGACTACCAGAGATTGCAGATTTGGAAAGAAGGGATACCAGAAGCCAAGCTTTTGTTTCCAGATATTTATCAGTGGAATCACAGTTCCCAGTTGAACAAGCGCACCTATTCAGTCTTTTTGATCTCATCCCAGGATTGAAATCTTGTGAAACTCATCGGAGCCTTTACAGTAATCGTGGTAATGGAACACATTGAAAATACCTTTCTTTGTGAAATTGATGCCTTATCATTGTTCATGTTAAGTGAAAATGGGAGATTTTTGGAGGAAGGTCATAGTATTTGTGTGAATTAATCAGTAGGGAGGCAATATATCTGTGGGATTCTGCCCTCTAAACAGAAGACTTTTTGAGACATCACCTCCTGTCATGTTGTGATAACTAGACTACTTTCTAGCATTGTATTCTTATATCACTGCACCTGACCAGTGCTGTTTCTTTACAGTGTTAACATAGTAATACAGTGGTACCTCTACTTACGAATGCTTCATCTTACAAAAAATT